TCTATCTATCTATCTATCTCAATCAAATAAGCTTTTTCAAGGTCATATTCCTCCTTCAACCTCAAGTCTTTGTTTTCTCTTTCTTGTAGATGCTGTCGGTTCTTTTGCAATCCAGAATTAAAACTATGATTAACCCATGATCATCCATTTAATATTCTTAAAAACCGTTTCAACTGAATCTTGATACATTTTGCACATTACTTATTAATCTTTCCAGATTTCAAAGGCCAGTAGTGCCTGCACTGTGGGGCCACTCATGGAAGTTTTTCTATCATGAGGATGGTAAATTGGTGCCCCCTGGTGGTGACAGTTTGTTTTTATGGACATTAGCAACATGGTCATGGTTTGCAGGGTCTGTTGGTTTCTGGTTGAGTCCCGTCTTGCGCAGGTTCTTAGCTCATGTCAGGGACTCCGACCCATCTGGGACTTCTCTCTTTCTGCATCAGTGCATTCGGATCATGACTCTGTCTCAGTTTGAAGAAGTCACTTGCGTGAGTGATGAAACATTAGTCCCAATGAAAATGCTACGTACAGAATAAACATTTAGGGATTTCTTTGCTTGGATGATTGTGCATAAAGACACCTTTATCTGATATTCAACATCGTTTCATTCATTAATCTGAACCTTAAGACTGAACATATATACATATATATTCATTCACACACACAATAATAATTAGACACAAAAGCAAAAGTGACAGGAGGCAACACAGAAAAAGAATTTTTATTCACGAACTGTTTTTACAAGCAGTCCTAAACTTCCTACCTGTCTCAAAAACAAAATAATCATTGAAATAAAATAAATTTTATAATAATCAATGAATATTATCAATTATATATCAGTATTATGACCTTAATTTCAATAGCCCAAAGCCAGTAGTATTTGTGTTTGTCTGTGGCATCTGGAAAACAAAACAAACAAAGAGGAGAGTTTCTGACGGGCGGACACTGGAGGATTCTACAGTGAGCACTCGGCCGAGAGCTCGTCGGCGTGGAGGAGAGACAGCGCGAGAGAGCTCACCACACACGCAATAAATATCAAAGAGCAAAGAGTCCGGCATTGAAACAAAGATCATCATCTGAAACTCGCAGGTACAATATCTCTAATAAGTCTTTATGTGCAAGATTCGAGCTGAAGTCTTCACCACGAACAGTTATACTCACATCAAACCCCGACCTCCCTTCAACAAATCCATTTTGTTTTCTACATTAAATCTTTTAAATAGACCTAGAGCATTTTGTCATTTCATATACACATATATATTTATATATACTTTGATTTTTTCCTTTTTCCTATACGCCATCCTTTTTAAATTGCCTTATACTGAGCGTGTCTGAGCAGAAAATTTGTGAGACGTCCAAATAAAAAGTCTACTGCTGAACATACAAAGCAATACCAAGGCTCACGTCCACTCTCTCTCTCTCTCACACACAC